GCGAATGCTGTTCGCAAGATAATGTGTGTACCTTTCATTTCTCCCTCTGTGGAAATTCTCCTAGAACAGGGTTGACGGTAATCGAAATGGCGACTCGGCAAGGTTCTATCTTCAAAAAATGTCATCGAAACTGCGACAGAAAATGAATAAAACTGATGGAAAGTGGATATTTATATTTGTCAGCTTCAACTCGCCCACCGGAAAACGTTTGTTACATATGGTTTAAGTACCCCTGTCGTTCACATTATAACGCTCTAATGTAATTTCCTTGGAATGGAAACGGAAGTTGCCTGTTGACGTCTAAGCTCATTCCTTTTTGGCCATATTTATTCTTTCACGGTCGTTTGCTTTCTCCTTTGCATTATTTTGTTACCTCCTTCCAATTTCGCTCTAGTCGTTGTTGGTTTTATTGCTGAGCTCCCTTTCACATGGATATCGCGAATGTTCCGACTAAAAGCATTTGGCAATTCATTTCCAATTACTTTTATTCAGGATGGATAAATATGACTTGTCACCACCTACAATTTCGCTCAGAATGGATGCAGGATGGATATGTTAGGGACGTCCAAGATTGACAGCGTGGACGTGGCTCGGCTGTTGATGAGTTAGGAATTGGTAGATCCGACGTGGATGGACGGAAGTAAAAACTGTTGAAGGTGCTGGTGAGCGCATGAACAAAACGGTGAATAGGTGAACGGATTCTTTTTGTGTATGTAGTTGGATCGGTGATATGGGTGTTGAATGGATCTTGAACACGCAGACTGTTTTATTGACGATTGAATGCGTGGATGGATAGATGGATGCATTCGGGTTTCGTGTATGGATTGGTGGCTATATGGATCTATAGAGAATGGGTGATTTGACAACACTAATGGCTATCTCTGTTTCTAGTATTTTTTTTTTGCTTCCATCGCACACAGGGTCGGAATTTGGCTGAACTGCGTCGCAGCATGCCCCGTGGCGTCTTCTCCCTTAGCACCGTGGTGCGTCTCTCCGCTCAAATGCTTGATGCAATCGAGGCGGTGCACGACAGCGGTTTCCTCCACCGCGATATTAAACCCTCCAATTTTGCCATGGGCCGAGGCACAGGCACGGCGTCCCATACGCTCTACCTCCTGGACTTCGGATTGGCGCGTCAGTACACCAACACGGAAGGTGAGGTGCGACCCGCTCGTCCCGTGGCCGGCTTCCGCGGCACTGTGCGCTATGCCTCACGCAACGCCCACGCTAACAGGGAGTTGGGGCGACACGATGACCTCTGGTCAATGTTCTATATGCTGGTGGAATTTGCCTCTGGTCAGCTCCCATGGAGGCGGCTTAAGGACAAAGAACAGGTTGGCATCCCCTGTGTCTATTTTTTCATTGTTAGTTTAATCGATTTCGTTTTTTTTTTTCAACTTTGGGAGAAAGAGTCAATTCAACTGCTGCCATGGCTAATTTGAGCTACCACTTTGATATGAATTGAGTTTATTTGTGGATGAAGTCAGTCTTGCTAAATTCTGATCATGGATAACAGT